GTGCTAAATGTCATCTCATGGCTTAATAAATAAATTATTATGTGATTATTATTATTATAAAATTATCCTTAGTTCATACCTTACACTTCTTACTTTCAAAAATAAACATATTCAAAAATACATACATTTGCGGAATCAACCAGAATACAATCCTAGCAATTTAAATTGAGTAGGTACACATGAAAAAGATGAATAAACAAGACTGTAAATATCGGAGTCATAATACACTTCTATAAATGTAAAATATTAAAATTTGAATAGCTTCAAAATCATCTGATAAAACAATAATTAAAACTACTTTTACGATTTAATCACCCGTTTTTTTTTTCATTCATTCATTTTTTGATTTCATTATATAATTTCCGACGTTTCAAAAGCCGTATACTCACAGTTTTCATTTTCGCAATCAGAGAACGAATAGGAGACGCGAAATTAAAAAAAAACATAAACGTATATTTATTTTTGTTACGTCTACGGCTCACGAAAATCGAAGAAAAAACTATGCGAAAGAAAAAATATCTACCTATGTGACATTACCCTTAGTCCGGTGGCGTAGAACATTAATTCAAAAGGCGCGTTCGGAGCCAGTGCTAAGCAAAGCGCGGCCGCCGCAACAGGCTGCTTACTAAACGAGCTAGTGCCGTGAACTAGGAAAAGAGCATGGGGAACAAAGTTGTAACATTTACAGAACAACAGCTCGAAGATTACCAGGTAAATAAAACAATAGGAATCGTTTGGAAAACTCTGTCAAATAATGAGTACCTCACTAGCGAAGATTTATGAAAATATCGATAAGGTTTCGGTAATTAGTTTTTCTTGAACATTATTTCTAATAATACAAATTAAATGTATATAAATAAACAACATATAACAATAATTTTACTCCAAAAATTCCGACTAGATGCATTTAATTGAAGAACATAGTTTTAATTATATTACGAAAAATGTATTCGATATCAAGACGTATTTAATCTGAGATTAATAATTTATCTCTTTGGTATTTTTTTATCAATTTTTATTTTAAATAATATATTCATTATTGATACTACTGAAAGCATAGACTACTTTATGCTTTGTGCTGCCGATATGATCTTTTTACTAAACACCAAAAGTAAATAGAAAATGCCGCTAAGCCGTTTCTTTCGACACAATAAAAACAAAATTCTACGATGTTATCTTCTATATAGTAATTACTAAATTTTATTGAGTTTACCATAAATATTTTTTTATTTATATATTTTAATAAATTCGAATTATTGTTTTAGTAAATTCGCTATTTACTTTATAAACACATGCACTTGCGTGGTGTTGAATAGATGGTACAGGATCCCACATGATATCTGTATGTGAAAACCATCACCACCTCGAAACATGGGATCTAAGTTTCAATGGAATTTTATTACGGTTGTTCCACCACCCTTTGAACCGCAACGAAGACTGCTTCGCAGATTTGGCTAGGCGCCCTCACAATAAGATCCTCGAGATTTTGTATAACATTCACTACTACATTACCGCTACGAAATATTACGTGTTGCCAGAATAGAAAAACACTTTTTAGCTTCGTAAGGATATAAATAATAAATTACAGCCTTCGAGTATAATGATGTGTATAATTACCTACCAGTTTTAGTCATCAAAAACTTATTAAATTGCTGTAATTAAACAGGACTGTACATTTTTCACGAGGAAAGAGATTTTAAGGTAAGAAATAATACAAAGATATAAGAAATGAAATACGCCACGACAGATTGATGGCAAACACCGAGTGAGAGAATTTTCTATAACACAAATCAATACAATTAGAGTGACATAATGAATAATATAAGTTGTGTTATGTTCGAAAATCTTATCGTTGAGCAGTTATACGTTTCCAAGTCACAAACTGCATAAGTACATTAATTTCTAAAGAAAAAATGTTCGTCGTTATATACATCGGTATGTCTTAAATCCACATAAAAATCGATTTGAATAATTTTCAAACAAAAAATATATTTTTTTTTATATGATTGAAAGTTTACTGGTGGCCCGAAGGCCTTTCCAGTTTCACCAGGACAGGTGGGCGAGCAAAGGCTCAGCCAAGAGGGGCGGGATTTGCTAACAACTGCCCGAGCGCCTCCGAAGGAGACCTAACAACTCAAGAGCAATTGCTTCGAGAATGAATCTACTACCGGATCGGAATCGCGACCCGCTGAGAAGATCCGGCGAGAAACTCAGCGAGCTGATTCATGGGTTAGGTTGCACGGCGAACTCTTTGTCGAGTTCGACGAGTACGGTTACCGAGATAAAAAATATCTGTATTAAGCGCTAAACCGCAATGAGTGGGGGTGTGCTGTTTGTAAATAATCACAGTACACAATTAACCAACGAACAAACTATTTTAATTTTGAAGTTTATAGAAAGTTGGACAACATGTTTGACTATTTCGTTTCGTGAATGGAATAAAACTATAAACTTTTCCACTTTTGTATATACATTCATTCAATTAGCGTACGATCTAATCAAATTAATTAAACATAGTGCCTTCTTGTAAAACCGAGTATTCATTTAAATACGGACTAAAATGAAAACTAACTCGAAACTATTTTGTTTAAGACTATAATTTCTGCCGGTAGGCGTGTTTTGCGATTTGAATAGTTTAACATAGTTACACTTAATGCTTGAGACATCTGCCTCATGCCCCAGGGTATGCATCACGATAGACACTTTATCTTTGCAACCTGCTGATTACTCCCCGAAACCTGCCCAATCACTGTCGACGCCCTAGACACGTCCTTACGGGTTCATCAGATCCAATAACTCTTGCATTAGACGCCTTAAGCTCCAATACTAGAAGCAGACTTAGGGATAGTACGATAAATTCTTATTCATAGTTTATAATTTCAAGTTCCTTTAATTATGATTTTTTTTAAATTGAATTTGATCTCCCGCCCTCGCCGGTCGACTACTGATCAACTATCAATCGATCAGCTATCCCCGCCAGGTGTCACCACTCATCCAGCAAACATCACGTAGTAGGGATGAGGACGAAGCCGGTCTCCTGTCTTACTTACTCACTATACATCATAGATTATACACTTAATATATTTGAGAGCTATACAATACTATACATTTTTCAGCCATGTTTTTTTGGTTTTATTTGTGTATCAATAGTATGTTCAGTAGGTCTGAGAATCGGCTACTATCTATTTTTCATACCCCTAAGTGAAAAGGGTTGTCCACCCCAAACACTTATTTTTTATTTTAATTTTTTGGATATTTTTTTTTTGTTTATAATGAGGTATTATGTGGTTAAATGAGGTTTTTTTTTCTACAGTAGAATTTCCCTACAAATCTTATTTAAGGCAATACAACGTTTGCCGGGTCAGCTAGTATAATATAATATTTAAGTTATCCGCAATCGGAATATTAAAAAAAGCAATATAGCTGTTCTTTTTATAGCGACATTACACTGGACATTAACTGGAGAAAAATAATCAAAATCTTACTTAGATAGAAGTTAAGAAAAAGTTTACCATAAATTATTATGATTCTAATAGATTTATAATCATTAAACTCGGAGTTTACACCAATCCTATTTTATGATTCACACGATCCCGAGACTCATCGTCTGAAATCACGCGAAACAATGATTAGCTAATGGATAAAGTTAGCGAGATTCACGTTGTACTTTAACACCAACAATAATATCTATAATTGGGTTACGAAAAATCAGGTCAAACTTTTGCGTAATTAAATTAAATATTTTCATACTATCTATTAGCTATTTATTTGCGTATAAGTATCCCAAATGACATCTATATGAGGATAGATACGCTGCCTATTTCTGCCGTAAGGCATTAATGCATTACTAAAGTAAAACGACTGCCCCACTTAACAACCAAAATGCATTAATGCCTTACGGCAGAAATAGGTAGCGTATCTATCCTCATATAGATGTCATTTGGGATACTTATACGCAAATAAATAGCAGATTTCTAATAGATAGAATAGATTCAGCAATAGTTCTAAAGAACTGAGACGTAGAACTTATGTCTCAAGCCGCTTTCAGACTACGCTATAATATAATAGCATATAGTATATTATAGCTCATAGCACAACAATATCGCGCACCATACATTATGGATCCGTTCACACTGTACTGTCTATACTAATATATAAAACTACAGTGGTCTTTCCGGATGTTCCGTTATAACTACTGAACCATGCATACGATTGACTTGAAACTTGGTATCCATGTAGAAAATACATGTACTTAATGGATAGGCTAATATTTATATGAGTGTTGTACTCCCTTCACCTAGGGGGCGTTAATGATGAGAATCTTTGTGGGGGTGAGAAATAATAATGTTAATTTTAAAGGCCCAGCGAAGCGGGTGGGTACAGCTAGTACTATATATTATTGGCTAAGTATAGGCTGCTATTATACTATATGGCACTATAGTATAGCGTAGTCTGAAAGCAGCTTTAAGATGGGTGGCGCAATTTACTTTGTTGATGTTTATATAGGCCGTGAACTCTTCGTTCCATCTTAGTAAAAAAAACTAGCTAACAAAATTGTTTACAGGTACGCCTTCAGAATTTATGATCTTGATGACGACATGTACATAGGTCGAGAGGACCTTTTGGAGGCCACTCGATTGTTGACGAAGGGAGAGCTTCACGCTCAAGAGAGGGAGGAAATTGTGGCTAGTGTTTTGGACGAGGCTGACGTGGACGGAGACGGAAGACTATCCTTCATGGACTTCGAACACGTGGTTGTGCGTGCACCGGACTTCCTATCCACGTTTCACATTAGAGTATGAATAAACGATGGCGTCTTTTAATAAATTTATAGAAAGTTATTGTTTTTTTTTTAAATTAATTATTACACCATAGTATCCTATGCGACATGTCACAAAACGTAAATAAATTAAAGAGGTTCTACCTGGCTTTTATAGTAAATACATTTACTCGAAGTCCGGATGTCAGCGGATGATTACAAAAGACCATACTGTATACAACGTGTTACAAAAATTGATTAAAGCTGTGAATTGAAGTACGCATTATTTCATAGTTACATGTAGAGGCGGCAATTAGAAATGGTGTTTGTTGGAAGGGTACGTAATACGCCCCAGGCGTGGAGCTCTTCTAGGCACTGGCTATATAGGTATATAGTAGGTATACCTATACATCCAGGTATATAGTATGCAATGAGGGCCTCCGCCTGCAAGATCCAGGGCTGCTTTCTCGCCAACACTCATGCTATCTCGAAATATATGGTGCTGAAACCTCAAATAATCTATGTTAAAATTTTGTTCATTGCATCGAGTGTAGCGTATGAATTCACTGAATTATAGTAACCATTATTACCCATTTAAATTCTTAATGTTCGTAACATAAAAAGTAGAATCGCGAAACATCCCTAGCTCGTATACTTAGTTACAACATTTTGCCCAATCTAAAAACATCACGCGAAGCAAGCAATGTCGTTTTGTGTGTTATTTATTTTGTGTTTCTCTCAATGCGCGGTCCGCCATGTTTGACCCTTGTTACGGCTCAGATTTATCATACATTTTTCACGAGTCGCTCTGTGCGTTTTCCTGTTCCTCCCACATAATTCGTCCCTTACACGGTTTATATTATCTGGACGTTTGTAATATATAGGGGTTGTTATATCACAATGAATGTGAATATAACGAAATTTTCTAATCCGGTTTCATCAAGACTTTTATTAAAAGGTCATTGAATAATTATGATTACACGCACAACACTAGGGTAATCAGAAAATAATCCTTATACTTTATTTAATTTAAAAAAAAAGATTAAATTTTTTCTTTCTATAAACGCAGTTATTTGATATAATTAAGATTGAGTGAAAAGGTATTTTCTTTAACAAGAAATTTGCCGCGTTAGCGCTGTAGAAATCGGGGCTTAGCGATAGCGTTAAACGATATAACAAAAGTAAAATCATTTAAGAATTTTTAAGTACAATATTTATTTACTTCAAATCAAATCAAATCAAAAAAAAAATATTCAACATAAATGAAAGTACATACTTGTTGAACGTCAAAAGAACTACCGCCAATTCACAAGAACTAGCCTCCGTCCTGAGAAGAATTGGCAAGAAACTCGGCGGGCATGTCTTTTTTTTTTATATGAAATTATTATTTTTTTTTTTTTTAATATTAGATTTAATTTCCGTGACAGGGATAATTCTTCGCTGTCATAAATTTAAATTGCGGACAATCCAGTCATTATTTACAATTGAGATTTCGACTTCATGTGTCAAAATAAACAGCGGCTGACAAGTCGTGATGTCTATGAGATCTATAATCTTCTTCCAAACAAACCATCTGCCTATCTACTAACTAACTTTTTGTCTTGGCTCTAAACGTAGCATGGAATTAGTTGCAAAATGATCATATATCAACAATCAACATTGCAAAGACAATAATAAAAGCAAAATATAATAATGCTGTCCCTACATTCGTGACAGAAGGTTCGGCTCGTTTTTATCCACAAAATGCTTTATCATAGAGGCCAACCGATTCATCACGGCTCCACTCCCCGGTACGACATTACGTAATAAACTAATAATAATTTCATTCATTCATTTGTTGGTTCATTCATTAAGTATCGTTACGTCATCGTATTTTGGTAACACGAGTCTCGGCACACGACGTTTTAGGTCAATTTATTCGATTTTCGAAGGAAGTATCCTTTTCATCGATTCCGCAGTAGCGCTCTAGAGTGGACATAATTTTTTTTTTATTGCTTAGATGTGTAGCTGGAATAAACCCTTAGGTTATCAGCAAATAGGTAAGGAAAAAAGTACTTTAATAAATTACTAAGAGTTGACTGTTTTAATAATTTAGTGACATTTTCTAAGTAAAGATTAAGGTCGGCGTTACGTCTGTGTGCGTGTGCCCAGAAAATCCCTATATTTGTGTATGTGTATCGTAAAAAGCGAATAAGCGATTTACGGAAAAATTAGTAATAGCATACGTTGGGTATTACACCAGCACACTGAGACCGAAATCTCCATTTTTAAATAACGGGCCACAATTTTCTAATATTCCAACACGTAGCAATATTCCAAAAGTTATAATTTTTTTATTTGAAATAATTCAAATATCGCTCGATATTGGTAGGCTATAGTCTACAAAAAAGAAGGCATAGTCCACCAACCTATCTCTGTTGTAACCGCTGCAAAAGAAGAAGCTGTAAAGACTATTCAAAGCCACCATTATTGATCCGCTACGTTTATGAACAAATCAATTTAATTGTATTACATTTTTGAATTGGCACATTATATTCGCAACCTATACAGAGTTAGATTTAAATCAACCACAGTGAAATTTATTTATTTGCTTTTTAGGCATTCAATGTTTAAATTTCTTCTTTACGATCTTACCACATTATCAGTTGTACTTTTAGAGTACTTAAGGAGTATTCACCACCTTTTAAGATTATGTTGAGGAGCTAGGCTGTGCGTTAACTGTCAGCCAGTCATGGTACTTTAGACGTGACGAGGGTCGTAGGAATAAATCGAACGCTGACTGATCCAGACCGGCCATTTTGTGGCCTTAGAAGAGGGGTCAACCAGAAATGGACGTTCTTTATCTGATAAGATGATTACATTGACCCCTGATGACCGCAAAAGACATATTTTAATAAGGATTTCGGCAAACAGTCCAAAGCCGTAGTTAGAACTTTTTACATATTATTATCTTAATAACACTTCCACCACATTACATTTTTCAATTCAACTGAAATTATATTTTTATTATATTTAATAACTGAATGGCACTAAAAGCTTATACCATTAAGTTTATTTCGTTAGTCCTTCTCAGAACTTTTCCATGTTGAATTTTGAATACGTTGTTTAGCGTACGTTCCACACATGAATTATGGAAATGAAATGAAAGGGTAAATAGCAGTTTGGCTATACTCTTAATGTTTAACAAGAGACTTTCAAATGATTCTTCGAAATCTATCCGTGTTTTTTTGTTTCAATTAGCGTTTGTCGCTTTGGGAAATTATATTTCTTCCATCTTTAAACGTGTCCCTGGGTAATTTGGGTTTAAAATTGGACTTAGGTTGGGCTGCAATCAGTTCCCGGGATATTTTGTTTAAATTCAACAAGGAAAATACGGGGCTCGATACAGGGTTACAATATTAAAAATTAAAAATGTCTCGAGCAAATTTTCAAATAAATCAATTTTTGTGTAAAAGTTTTATTACATTTTCATTATATTGTATGTGTGCAGTTATTGTTTTTTTAACTATCAGATTTTTTCCCCGGACTAGAACACTTTATTATTATAATTTCGTTGATTTAATTGATCTTATCAATCTGATGATGGTCTGGAAGAGATGTATTTTTGTGCTAATTCGTTGCAAATGAAAAAATGAAAAAAAAAGCAGACAGTCTGCAATTCTCTCTCTTTTTGTGAACAACGTAAAATTAAACTCGGCCTAATCCACAAAACGCCCAACGAACTTTTAATAACAATCTTCTGATGCGAATAGGTCGAAATTAAAATCCTTTATCAGGCGTTAACATTCAGAACAACTAGAAAAGTCAACCTAAAGAAAGAAAATTAAAGAAACTTCTACTTATAGATGTGAATGATTTTCATTTTTACTCTTCACGACTGCTTTACAATTTCAATTACATTTTAGAATAAACCAAATCGTTTTTAACTAATATTATAAAGAGGACAGATTTGTTTGTTTGTATTGAATAGGCTCCGAAACTACTGAACCGATTTGAAAAATTCTTTCACTGTTTGGAAGCTACCCTATTCCCGAGAGACGTAGGTCATAATCTTTTTTGAAAAAAATTAGGGATCCTTACTAAAACTCCAATAATGTAACCCAAGGTGTAAAGAAACTACCTAAAATATTCTTTACATCGCGTGCCCTGCGAAAACAATTGACGATAGAATAAAATAATATACTACGACTTTGTAAAACACATTATTATTTAAAAAAGTGTCGTGACAGTATATGTCTAACTATTATAGTTATGCCGCAATAAGTGTTATTTTATTTAAAAAAATAAAACGTCGTTGAAATTTTTGTTAAAGACCTGAGCGGAACCGGAGCGGGCCGCTAGTATATAATATTTTCTAAAAAAAAGTTTGATCTGCACGCACCTTAAGTCTTGCCGAACAAAGAATGACATGACATTATTAAACTTCTATCCCAGTTTCGCCAGTTATTTGAGATTTCTTTCATATTTCGTCGAACCCGTCTTTTCACTATATCACTACGACATATCTAGAGATTTGAAACATTCACCCAGTATTATCTAATTTCGAACCCCTTTATTTTACAGATCCGTATAAAAAATCTGTGTTAAAAAAATACCAATGGAACCTTTGGCCTAATTTTTATGAAACTACAAATAAATCATTGTATTGACTAAGTATTACACTGTTCTGTAGTCTACTATATGAGATTTTAAAATAGGCTTAGCTATAATCTTAGAACCTTCTGGAATAATCAAGTTAATATGAGTAGCAGTAGCAGCATTTAAATAAAGACACTTTGTATGTGCCGAACATTTATTATAAGTAATATATGACATATTTAGTATAAAATGAAACAAGAATATATACGCAAGAACTCCATTAATATCTAACTCCAGTAACTGAAAAACAAACACAATATTAACATTCTTGAAGGTCGCACCACTCACTAAAATTAAACGAGAATTACGTAGGTAGGTAATTACAAACTTTGATTAACGCAATTCACCTTAAACCCTAAAGCATATTATCACTATCACTACCTACATTACCATAAATCTATATAATATATAAAAGAAAGTCGTGTTAGTTACACTATT